CTACTAGAATACAAGCTACTGCAATCTGACACATACCTTACAACATTTGTCAACAACACCAAATGCAGTCTGACGAATAACATCCTGCACACATTTGTGCAAACGGTGCTGTTCAGTGTGGCAAAAAAGGTTGATCTTTTGTTTATCGTCAAGCTATTGAAAAATAAATAAATAAATAAATAAATAAATAAATAAATAAATAAATAAATAAATAAATAAATAAATAAATAAATAAATAAATAAATAAATAAAACTACCATGTTTAGTCGGGTTTCCAGTACACTCTTGAGATAGGTAATCCAATTATCATTATAATCTCGTTCGACAAAAGATACATCAAAAAGTTTTGTCATAATCTGCAAATAAACAGACACATTTACTATTTAATCACACTATCGTACAGATCAGGTGGTCAGTTGCATGGCGTGATTGGATGGGTTATGCCCTCATTACTACAAAAAGTGTGTCTATTTAACGGCAAATAAAACATAATATGGTGGTTTAATTACTATATATGTGGCTTGAGCATGGTTTCAAGTGTTTTAATAAAAAAATAAGTTGTCAAATATGGTTGCGAATAGCATTTTTGAGCTTCGGTTTTTGATCGATGTTTTCGGTGTATACGGAAATCAATATATGATTTTCATGTTATGCGGACACCGAAGGCTCTGAAAATCATACAGAATGTAGATAAATACTACTTATTTACTACAGTGTGATTGTGGCAAGTTGCCTCCCGTTTTAGGCCGTTTCTAAGCGTGCAAAATGTCCTAATTAGTATTTATATACCACAAATTACACAATCAGGTGTCATGTGACCTACGAGTCAGGTCACTTTAAAGATGGCGATGTAAATACGGTTGTTGGATACGCTCGTGCTATCTTCACAGAAATTCCGTTTCCTTCTTGAATACTGGCGATAGTATTTTCCTGTCAAGAATTTTGACATGTGAATATATTTATTAACTTGTGTAATTTAGTAGTGTAGTTTAGCATCGGGACGTACGACAGGAATGGAAGATCTGGTCTAATACTGTCTGCAGTTCTCACGACAAGGATGATTATAAGGTGACGATGTCGTACTCGTTAATAACAATGCCTAAAACGCCGACCCAAAATGAAAACAATAGAAAAGTTTGCCACATCTCTCTATCAGGAAAAGAAAGAAAACTAAGAGGAAAGTGCAGACGGATGAATTAACTAATACCTCTGTAGAAAACTTTGTA